TTAGCAACAAAGTGACAAACAAAGAGAGAGAGAGAGAGAGAGAGAGAGAAAGAAAGAGAGAGAGAGAGAGAGAGAGAGAGAGAGAGAGAGAGAGAGAGAGAGAGAGAGAGAGAGAGCGTCACTTTAAAACAAATAAATTAAAAAACGTCACCTACCGAGAGTATCACACTTGCCAGGGGCTCTGCAGATGTCCTCCCTGAAATGGCACAGAGAAGGGGATAATGTAAGTTGTTCATACTTAATTATTTTTTAACGTTCACCATTAATAACCCATACGACTTAAACAGGATGTCTTTCCCTTTGAGGCCCGGATGTGCGGGTGTATCCAAAATGAACTGTTTGATTCCATGTCCGTGAACGAAAAGGTAAACCTAAATTTTTTCTTAGCCTTGAATTTGTTATTGAAATGATTAAAGTTTAAAAAAGACAGCAACATAATTACGGAGAAGACCGCCAAAGAAGACCAAAAAAAAGTTTCCTTTCCTTGCAGGGTGCCTCTTTGTGTTCTAGCTAAAGGAGAAAGATAACTATTTGTCACACACAACCTATGATTACAGCTATGCTGAAAGCTCAGCCACGAACTTCGAAGGGATGGGAAGCCCCAGAAAATCAAAATAGCACAACAAATCGGTCTATAAACGAAAGAAAATATATAAAATTCGGCAGTGTCCAGATAGCGAGCCTATTTTTCAGTTTCATACGTTCAGATAAAATACATTTTAATTGTTTGTGCCATTCATCGACATAATTATTGAAAGCTGGGCGCCAAACGCAGCCATTGAGGCAACTTGTTGACGACGAGTGGGAATCACACAATCATCATTCGCCTGGAAGTCGAAGCAGAACTACGACAGGACAGCCGTAACACTGAAAAGAAGACAGACAACATAAGACTTCCACTAACCGCCAGCTACAAGGCCATGCCCCCCTGTCTTCACACCTTGTAACAACAAATCAGTGTTTTCCGTCACATGTGCTAGTGTGTTAGAAGAATGGGTAACTTACCGAGTGAGAAGGATGGCCGTGTCATGGTGTTTCTCACTTTTGGGGGTAAAGTCGTTGACACTGTTCTGCCACAAACAAAACTCCTTCAGGGTCGACGCCGCGTTCTGCGACACTTCGAAGGGCATTTCCTGCGATCAAGAAAAGTCCAAAATACACGTACTATGTATGGAGTCAGTGGTGGTGATGGAAGAAGAGGGGGGAGGGGAGTGAATATATAACGATGGCAAAAATTTACCACAGTAACTACTACAATGACGAAGTCTGAGACGGCAACGAGGAGAGTGGTTGGGGGAACGAGGTGAAGCCAGTAAAGTGAAGGGAGAAAATCTGGAAGATCGTTGCATTCGATCCTATCCACCATCCCATCCCTTCACCCCACCCCTTTATTTAAATCCCTCTTTTTCACACACAAAACGACACGCTGAAGCTACAACCAAGTATCTCTGGTTCATTTCAAGGAGAGAATGTACGACTTAACAATCATATATAGCTGAACAAGACAACCCAAAACGCGTTAGTTTTATTCGCGTTTTACAACCCAGTCTACATAAAATAGATAAAAATCGAGGAAGGTCGCTCCTTTCAGGTGCCGATACATCGTCAGCCCATACTGTGCTCAGAATCCCCCTTTGAGATCAGGTGGCCAACCTGCAGGGAACAGGTAACTTAAAAGCACCTTACGGTTATCTCAGTCTGTGGCATTCAGTGCCAACTTGCCCCTAAACTCCTTCAAGATACCCGAACCCCTAAATATAATCGGCAGACTTGCCTTGCCGAAAACACCTTCAGAGTGAGATCTGCGTCCACATCAGCGGTATAGAAGGAGATCCCGCTATAGCAAGGTATAGCATGTGCAACGAACTACGATACAGTACAGTGACCAAAATATCCGAGATGGAGTTTTAATAAGTAGCTGCTTGATGCATATGCCAATTTCGAAAGGAAAGCACTATTCCCAGTGTCACTGGGAATAGGCCCAGAAACTATCCCCAGTGACACTGAGAACGGACAGGCCCTTTTGATCTATTGTTCCCACACTGATCTACACGGGCATGATGGTGATGGATTACTAATAAATACTAGACTAGATATAATGTAGATCTAGATTCTAGATTCTAGATCTAACTAAACTGAAGTAGATTCTAGTGTGAGTGGAAGAATTTTTTAAAAGAAAAAAGGAATGATCATTCTATGCTTGCTTGTTATTCATTCGTATTTTACGTACGTGTAGATCTAGATCTACATACGGATTTTGGAGATCATGGTACAGGACAGGTAGAAATACTTCCCGATTCTTCTTTCTTCTAGATTTATTCTACGGTCCTGTCTAAGCCCTAAGTAAGAGAAAAGAACAAAAGTACTGAACTGAAGTGAGAACAAAGTCTACAGTGCAAACACTTCTGATTTTTTTATGCAAAAGCGTTCCGTCGTCACTGGGAATAGTTTCTGTACCTATCCCCAGTGTCACTGGGAATAGTTTCTGTACCTATCCCCAGTGTCACTGGGAATAGTCACTTCGATTTCGAAACACTCAAGCTGGTAAAGGCCTGCTTCGCCCTGAAGCCATGAACTAGGGCTGGTGCCAGAACGATGAGGTGATATGTGCAACCTGCTTTATGAGTACCAATAGTTTTGGCACACGAGCATAACGACTATGAATCAGTATTTATTCATTCTTGGACCATAATTATTTTAACAAGCTGATAGTAGGGAGGTTGTTCCCATCACGTTACCTGTATATACTTTTGACGAGGTTGTAATATATTTCTACAATGTGCTTTAAACTTCTAATGCCAGCATAATAGCAGAAGCACACGTTCACAAACTCTATAGTCAAACTCAGCAACGTAAACCTATTCTATAATGTTGTGCATTAGCTAGATTGGGAGCGTGGAAATACTGTTGTATCTCAAGAAACGATATTTTTTCCAACAATGTGACAGTATTTGCGGGGTTTAATTTGTGTCGAAAATACAAAATATGTTGCTGCGCAAAAAGCTGAGAAATTCTAGGTGGTAAAAAGTATACCATATTAAAAACAAAGTGTGAGTAAATCAGTATTCGTTTGTATTCTGTACAATATTACGCCTTTCTCAAATATAATAGTTAATTCTTCTGTTTTCAAAATTAAATGGTCTTGAGCCGACGCTAAAGCGTCTATCTAGTAACAGCTGTAAATATAATACCCAATAATGCTTCTCTAAAAATAGCAAGCATGTATCAGCGCGATCAAGAAGTGAAAGCTTACCCATGTCGTTTCGAATATGATGAGCTTGGCAACAGCAACATTGATAAAATTTTGAATAGATGGATCTTTGTATACACTCCTGACCTGAAACAAACAAAGAAACGAAAAATGTATTTGAATTCATTATTTCAATAACATATCTATTTGAAAAGAAATAACAACAGCAGCAACAACAACAACAACAAAAACGCGCAGGAAAGTCTCAAGCCTTGAACCCTAGCTTGGTTGGGTCAAGTTCGGAACAAAGAGGGCCACCACAACAGTCGAGTACATTAGAGGCAAACCTAGCTTGGTTGGGTCAAGTTCGGAACAAAGAGGGCCACCACAACAGTCGAGTACATTAGAGGCAAACCTAGCTTGGTTGGGTCAAGTTCGGAACAAAGAGGGCCACCACAACA